TGAGTATGTGTTCAGGGTGGGACTAAATATGTGAAGTTTAGTGGAGATTGGACATTGTACCCTGAAGTTGAGTACTATCTGTTTATGGTGAATCGTCGAAATTCAACGCAACGCCACGGGCACACTGTTCGACGGAATAACGTAAATAGCAGAGAGGGTAGTGATTTTGAACAAGGCCAGAGGGTTAAAGCCACATCTTATCTGCACATTATATGCAGTGTATGTTCTGTGTTTTATCAGTTGAAAGTGCAGTAACCTCATTTCCCACTAGATGTAGTGGTTGTAGTGTAAACTGATGTGACTCAGACCCTGCCAGGACTCTGCAGCCCCACAGTCTCTGCAGTATCACCAGCTTAACTCCTGGTTATTCATAAAAACTCCACAGGCCGACGATGAGCACTACATCCCCCGCGCAGTTCTCCTGGATCTGGAGCCGAGGGTGATCCACTCCATCCTCAACTCTCCTTATGCAAACCTGTACAACCCGGAGAACATCTACCTTTCTGAGCACGGTGGAGGTGCTGGGAACAACTGGGCCAGTGGATATTCACAGGTGATCACTGGAAACAGCTTATTATTTTCTTTTTATAGCCCCATGTTAATGCCATTTAAAGACACACAAATTGAATGCATCTAAAATGCTGCTCCTGGCTTTTTTCCCCCCCCTGTAGGGCAAAAAAATCCAAGAGGACATCTTTGACATCATTGACCGGGAGGCAGATGGCAGTGACAGTCTGGAGGCAAGTCTGCCATTTACCACATACCGACTGTGTGGAATTTAAAAAACTGATTTAAAAGTAATGTGATATTGCTGTGTGTAGAAATATTACATAGAACAACTGGGAATGAACCTGAAACATACAAGAAGATATCAAAACTGTGTGTTGTTTGTGTTTGGTTGATTCCATTTTCTTTTTTTCTGTAGTAATTGCTTTTAAATCAGAGTGATTACGAGACAATGGCCCTCGCACACCTCCTACATAGAAGTGTCTCCTCCTTGTTCTTCCTCTTTTTGTGGTTATTTTCCTCCCAGTGACTACTGACTGGCAGAATCCTGTAACATGTATAAGTTTTGTGATCTGAAAGTAAAGCAACACACACTTAATTGTTGATGCCCAAGGAAGTGAAATTTAGTTTGTTTGTTTCTTCTTCCAAAATGGAAATCACATGATGTTTGTAGCTTATCCATTTCTTAGTAGATGGGGAAGTTTATTTAAGAACCCCGATTTGTCACCTCCACACTGTATGTGTGTTACAGCAATGCCAGCAGTGTTGAAGTACTAAATTTAATCTTTTTATCCGAGTTTCATTATTGGCCTGGTCAGCAGTCTACGGTCTGGATAGTGTCAGGGAATACTCGATTGTACTCAAACATGACTCTCACTCTTTCAGTCAGACTCCTGTGTGTTTGTGGTGGTAAAGGGCATCCAGAAATTAATGACTTGAACAAAACTATGCTAAAATACTGCCAGTGCCCGTCATCTTGAAACTAGCAAAGCCCCAGCCGTGCCTCACTATTATTCTTAGTTTTCCTTTTCTTTTTTCTTTTTTCTTTTTTCTTGGTAAACCTTCTTCAGCTGCCAGCCTCCTGTGAAATAACACTCGCGTTTCCCCTCTACGGTCTGCAATTTCTGTAACTCATTCACATTATGACCCCACATTATTATTTAGTGTGTGCACTCATGTGTGCATTGGATAGGAAGGTGGGCCGAGCTGCCGTGAGCATGTGTATGTTGGCAGGGTGTGGCGTGTAGAATGTCTGGTGATAATAGCCGGGCGAGTGTGGAAGGCAGGTATTACAGGGCTGTCCTCGGGGGTGAGGGAGCCCATTTGTGAGGTGGGGCTGCACTCCCATTTATATAACCGCCTTGGAAGAGAGGCATTTGCTCACCCACACATTCAGCTTTCTGCATCAGTAGAGTTTACAGTAAGCTCTGTGCACACGTGGCACATGCTGTAGCTGTAAATTTGAACTGCCAGTAATAAGTAACCCTTTGTCTTTGTAGGGGTTTGTCCTGTGTCATTCCATTGCTGGGGGAACTGGCTCGGGACTGGGATCCTATCTACTGGAGAAACTCAATGACAGGTCCATAAACACACTGCTGTTGGAAAAACGGCCACTTTTGTTTTCCCTCAGCAGTTTTCTCATGAATAATTTACATATTTTCTGATCTCCAGGTACCCAAAGAAGCTGGTGCAGACTTACTCCGTTTTCCCAAACCAGGATGAGATGAGCGATGTGGTCGTCCAGCCGTACAACTCGCTGCTCACGCTGAAGAGGCTCACCCAGAACGCAGACTGCGTGGTGAGCAGCAGCACTCATGAATGGATGTTAATTAATCCCATTGCTCTCTTTGCTTCAACCTCACAAGATGGCTTTTCTTTCTCTTTTTTTTTATTTTTTTTTATACAAGTCCTGGTTTGCTTGTAATTGTGGCATTTGGACAAACCAAAGTCAAAGTACAGCACGGTAGCTGTTCCACTATCAATGAGCAGAAACAGGAAACAAAAATAATGTTGAAGTGGTCAGAGATGATGTGATGTCAGACTGTTAAATACATTTGGCTTCATGTTCACTGACGTAAATGGCAAGGGTCAGGACGTAGCCAGTAAATACCCGGGTCAAACTGTGTTAAGAGAAAGTGAAACACTGAATGAAGTTTGATTACGTCTCTCAGGCCTCTTACACAGTGCAGTCACAGTGCCATAAAAAACGATTTTATTAACATAAATCCACAGTGTACTAGACTAGTTTTGGCTAGGCTTGTCTAATTTTGTTTTTTAGTGATTAAAGGAATACGCCACCCAAAAAAAAGTCATGAATATGAAGAAGCAGATTGTTAATTCACCCTCTAAGTGTGTGGTTTGGTAATTGGACTGCCCAGTTGTCACTGGTCTTTTGAAGTTCTCTAACTGATATCACAACACGCTTTAAACTTACAGTACATGGAGTCTCTGACTGAAATTGTGTCTTCAGCACTTAGCTTTAAAAACTACCTTTAGTCACTTTCAAAAATCCACTGGTCTCATTTGTGAAACCATACAACAGATGTAGTTTCATGTTTTGGTTCTTTTGTTGAAAATCTCACTTTTCAGGCCGCTTCAGTTCTTGTGTATCAGCCCAGCAGAAGCAAACTGCAGTGCCAGCATTACAAATCCAACTGAATAAATCTCTGTCTTAAATTGGTGATTGTATTAGTCTGAGATTCTCTGACAGTCTAATGGTGTTTCCTCCCTAATACCTACTTCCTCCAGGGTCTTGCGTAAGTCCCTCATGTTGATTAAATTAGCCAGAGGCCTAATAGAATCTGCCCAAGAATCGGTCCCCCTGTTGAAACTGTACAGTGTGTCTTTTATGTTCAGCTCTGCTAACAACAGCACACTGTGTTGCTCCTTAAGAGGTTCCTTGACTGCGTCATTAGTCCGATACCCTTCAACATCATATTGACTTTCACCGTGCTGTTGTGCTGGAGAGAATCTATTTTTTTGGTTTTCTCTTCATTTGTGTAATAATGACTCTGTGTGTCCTGTATGTCAGGTGGTGTTGGATAACACGGCTCTAAATCGCATCGCCACAGACAGGCTGCATATCCAGAACCCCTCGTTCTCCCAGATCAATCAGCTGGTGAGTGAGAGACACCACTCAGTGTTACAACAACTGGACGGGGTAGAGGTTGTGTCAGCTTGTCAGTCAGCAGGTTTCAGTTATAGATTGCTGTTGACCTTACTGTATTTGAACAAAGGCAAACGTCAAGACCGACTGTAATAGACATGTGTCGCTCTCAACAGAAATTACGAGATTCATAAACTAGTTTGACGAGTCAGTAGCAAGTCAGACTGGATTTCGATTTCTTAGAAGGGAGTTGCACAAGGCTGCACACACCAAATGATATGTCAGCTACCTTGACAAGAGCCACACATTTAGTGCTGCACTTCTTTGACTGAAACACATTTCATATGAAAATACCTGCGTCACTTGTAAGACTGTCATACAGTAATTATGCATATTGTAAAATACAAGTTATCAGCTAAGGACTGTCAGTATTAGATGATTTAACTAAGTAGAGAGCAGGCTTTCAGTTGAATAATCAAATCCAGCAACTCTGTACACCAATTTAGTTGCGTTTCTTGACAGTAGCGTGACTGCTAACTAGTGTTAGCTACCTGGCAGAGACAGAATGAACAAAGTATAATTTGCATACTTTTCAGTTAAACCTTACATTTCTTGTAAAGACAATACTTTGTCAACAAACACAGTCTGTCCCTCTCGTCGTTGGGACCCTTAAATTCACTACGAGATAATAAGAGCCAGCTAGCCACGCAGAGTCACGGCACTCCTGTAAACTGCAACAGGCGTACAGATAGTGTAACTGTTCATGTCACCGTTTATGGGACTGTCATAACGTGCCAAAAAAAAATAAAACATCACCCAGCCCTAACTGGTTTTACCAGATTTGATTTATTATAGTTATAAGTGAACCTTCTCACACACAGGTTTCAACCATCATGTCTGCAAGCACAACCACCCTGCGTTACCCGGGCTATATGAACAACGACCTTATTGGCCTGATTGCATCCCTCATCCCCACACCCCGCCTCCACTTCCTGATGACTGGGTACACACCACTTACTACTGACCAGTCGGTGAGTTCAAAGTGATGTGAAACACATAATTCAAATGCAGAATGTTTTCCTCCTAACCCAGAATCCGTGGGTTGTAATGGGAAGTATTCTTGCAGGTAGCAGTTCATATTTAAAATACTGAATGTCTCTAAGAGGTTGATGTTTGAATCGGTGTTCCAGGTTGCTAGTGTGAGGAAAACGACAGTGCTGGATGTGATGAGGAGGCTTCTGCAACCCAAGAACGTGATGGTGTCCACAGGAAGAGAGAGGCAGCCGAGCCACTGCTACATCGCCATCCTTAACATCATCCAGGGAGAGGTGGACCCCACACAGGTACAAGCGCACAGTACGTTTACTCTTATAAATTCCAGATGTCTTAACGTGTCTGGAGAGTATTCAAACTTATTTCAACCGACTCCACTTTAGGTGCACAAAAGCCTCCAAAGGATCCGGGAGCGTAAACTGGCCAGCTTCATTCCTTGGGGTCCTGCCAGCATCCAGGTGGCTTTGTCCAGGAAATCCCCATACCTGCCCTCCGCACACCGAGTCAGCGGATTGATGATGGCCAACCACACAAGTATCTCCTCTGTAAGTGCTTATCTAACCCCTTGTCCACACAGCACGCGTGAGCAGTGTGTTTCTGCTGCTGCTGCTGCTAGCCCGATATGACTTTTGCTGGGAACTGTGCGGCTCGCAGAAAACGTACGTGAGAGGTACATTCTTTAGTGACGCGTTGCTGCGGCCACACCTGAGATGCGTGGCTCCGAGAAGCAGTGTGGCTGCACTAACCTGGGCGCCAAAATAAAAAGCAAGACGTTCGGCGACACACACACGCTGCAGATACAGGCAGTGTGGCTCTGGCTTTAGAGTCCCCTCGGCTTGTTCAGTTACATTCTCCTCCAGTGTGTATTTATACAGCAGAGACCAGTGTCTGTTCTGAGTCAATACTTGATGATGTGCGTTGTGCTAAAAGTGAAGTTGAGCCACCACAGCAGCAGTTCGAGGGGAAGGTTTTGGAACATCATCATGCCAAACTACAATTCCTTGAAACTAGATGTTTTTTTTCCTCCTTTTACTGGTATGAGCTGTGATGTCATAAAATTACCTAATCTGAGATGATTGAAAAAGCATTTACAGTCATACTACAGTGCCTAAATTGAACTTTTTTTTCTCATTGATTTTGCTGTTAAATTTAAGTATGGGGAAATTACAGTCATCCAAGGAAGTTTAAGTGAAGTCATAGTTTTCCTTTTCCTTTTTCGCACCATAGAAATTAAAAACAAAACAGAAAGTGTGTCGGTTTTGAGAAAGTCTGAAAGGGGATCAGTTTCAGGGTCTTATTCTGAGTGTTAGATTTAATTTTGATTTCCTTTCTGTTGCTGTCCCACAGCTGTTTGAGCGGACGTGCCGGCAGTACGACAAACTGCGTAAGCGCGAAGCCTTCCTGGAGCAGTTCCGCAAAGAGGACATATTCAAGGAAAACTTTGATGAGCTGGACAATTCTCGCGAAGTGGTCCAGCAGCTGGTAGACGAGTACAGCGCAGCCACGCGGCCTGACTACATTTCCTGGGGAACACAAGAACAGTGAAGGGACAATTTATGTCTCGTTTTTCACTTTTCAGACTATTTTCTCCTTCATATAGGTGCCCCAAAATAGACAGGCTATAGCTGCTTCTCTGAAAATTAGATTTATTGGCTTGTTATAGCATGTAGTAGTATTTTGTGTTTGTGTCTCAAAATTGAAAAAAGATACGCGTTAACACCCACTGTTATTATATTAACCAAAAAAGTAAAATGGTTGAATATATATTTTTTTTTCTGGACCACATCCAGAAATAAGATAGATATACTCAAGCTCAGTTTAAATAAAACAATCCTTACCTAATAGTCCAGTTCAGTGAAGGGAAAGTAAGAGTACTTCTTTCCTGCAAGTCATTGCAGAGAGCATCAATATATCTTGTACAAAACAATCTATAAATGTCTGTTAATAGTTGTTTTTTTCCTTGTCCTTAACTCAGCTTTTACCCAGTGTATCCTTTTTTGTTCAGCAATTTAAGACAACCTGTTGCCTTGTTTTGGTCTATTTTTATACTGAGTACAGTACTTTAGTTTTTGTGCAGTTGATTTACAGTAAAACGTCCACCTGCCTATGAAATGATGGCCTTGAACAATAAGAGTAGAATTGGAGAAGTGTTCCATGATGGTTAATCCCAGACATTTCTGACATGGTGCTTTGTACCGTCTGTTGGCTGCCGATACACATTGTTCATTTGCTAACAACTGTACATGACCAACAAGAATGTCAAGTTGAAGTTGGGCGTGAGCCAAAAGTGACACTGCGTTGACATTTTAACAGCATTCGTCACTTACAACAGAGAAAGTAACAGTTTGCACAGATGAACACTGTGTACAAGGATGGATTTCATTTTAACATCTATGCCTGTAAATACTTTAAAGGATAGCTGGTTCTCAGGCATTCTCTGTATTGTCTGAAATGAAGATACTGTTTCATGGTGCTTTGCTTGTTGGACCTGTTTAAAATGGTGAATAAACCTATTTTCTATTATATTGTATTTGCTACTTTGAATGTTTCCTGTATCTGGTAGGTTTCATGTAAAAGGCAATTTTACTTCACATTAGTCAAAACAATCTTATCTACAAAATGATAAAACACAATTTTTTTCCCCTCACCTGGAGCTTCAGTGTACTGGTGGCCGTTCATCTAACTCAGTTAAGGCTCATTACCACAGGGGAACGTAAAAGGCACTTAGCAACGCTTGCTCAACCAGCCATTGTTTTTAACCCGAAAAGCTTTGGGGGAGGTAAAGCTCTAAGCGCTGCTGCTGGCGCCAAACTTCAGACTTTTATAAAATGGGCCTGGTTGAAAACAATAGTCTTACAATGCTTCACTCGTTGAGGCACAAAGGAGCACATTTTCTGATAATGAAACAAAGGAAATGAGGGCTGAGGCCCAACAACAGACTAAATATGGTAAAATGGTGCCGTTTTTATTAATTACATACAGTATTTATAGTTTTTATTGCACTTCCAAGTTAGTTAAAAACAAACAATAGTGCAATGAACTATACACACATTACATAAAAAGGTACCATGCAGCATACAAACAAGCTTAATACAAAGCAACAACATCCGTAGTTTTCTTTTTTTCTTTTCATACATGTAGCTCGGAGCTGCCTGCAGCTGCAGTAGAAAAACCTGCTTCTGAGCAGGAGACAGGGCTGACTGTGCAATGACTCGTCAAGGCCTTTCATGGTGAGATTTAACTCTTGAGGCTGGTTATTGCATGGGGTTGTGTAGCAGACAGTACTCTAAAATTATATTTACAAAGCCCATCTATGGTCTCAGATTCCTAAAAGGTCAACTACATTAAACAAGGTGTACTATGCATACAACAGGATGTCTTCATAGGTGTCTGACATTCAAGTTTAAAGAAAAATGTGTTAATGTGAGAACAGTCAAATATAAATTGGGGGGGATCTGTCTGCTTTGGGATAATTTCTTATAATGAAAGCTTATTTAAAAAAAAAAAAAACCCACATCTTTGGTCCATGCTCAAACCCATGACATGGCGAAACTTTGGCTTCACAAGAATATTCAAACAGTGAACAGAAAGGAGCTACACAGGATTTACACATCTGATCTGCTTTAAGAAGCAGAACCAAAAGCATTTATGGCTTCTGGTTAACCTTATATCAAAACATATCTGGGTCTGCATTTAAAACATAAAGAACAGTAAAAAAAGAAGAAGCAAAGTTTGCATAAATAATATTACAAAAGCATCCATGGCCTGATCAAAAAGGTTTCCAATTAAATAGCAGACTGGGAACTCTTGACTGGGGGTTTTATGTGTACTCTAAGTTTAATTTCTTCTATTTCATATACATTGTGAAAATAACATAATAAACAAAGAAGCACCTGTTATTTTCAGCAGAGCAGAGCTGCATTAGGGTAGTAACTGACATAAGCAAAATGATCTAATCAGTCAAGTGTTAACCAAGTTTCGTGTCAAGGATTACAGCCAAGACAAGCAGCAACAAAGGACACATAAGAGCATCTGGTGGAAACAATGAAGAAACAGCTCAAAAATCCTTTGGTTTATGTGAAACACAATTAACTCAGATCCTGAATGTCATCCAGGAAATGTTTTTTTGATCAAATAGACCCACACACACACACACACACATACACCCACCCACACACACACATATAATCCCAAAGGTAAGAGTCTATATGGCCATAGCAGCCAAAGTGACTTAGCTACAGAGTTCAACATCTGTTTCCAGTTCCAAGTTCACATGGCTCACTGCATCAACAGTTCCAGGTAATGCAAGCCTGGCGGGGACCTTATGAAAACTGACCGTCTCTGATGAACATGTCAGCATAAGGGCACGTGAGAGAGTAAGTGAGTGAGTGTGTATGTGAAAGAGAGAGAGCCAAAGACAGGGGAGGAGGTGTGTGTGTGTGTGTGTTTGTGTCACTGAATGTTCTCAACACTATTCCAGCAGTGCATGAGGGACGACTGCCTTCTAGGAAAGGCAATAAAAAAATATGGCACACTTAGAGAAAGAAGAGAAAGAGTAGTGTTTTCACTCTAAGCCATACCTTCATGAGGGGAGTACCACAGCTTATTGTTACTGTAAGTCCTGTCTCTTGACGCTATCTCTCCCTGATGTAGTTAGGCTCACGCCAACGTCTCACATTGTCGAGGGGGGAGGTGGGGGGGGGGGGGGCGGGGGGGGGGGTGTGCCATTGTAGGGTAACAGGTAACAGAGGTGGTTGCGTGACAGGATGGGGTGGAGGGCGTGTGACAGCTCATCAGCAACCGCACTGGTTTCTGTGGGTTTCTGGCCTCACTTGCAAAACAGAACCCCTTGCCTTCCCGTCCCCTCCTCGCCCCCCTCCTCCTCCATCGGCCAGCTCCTTCAGCTGGAAAGCTCAGCAAGGGTTTATTTTCACGGATGGGGAGCGAAAACAGCGCTCTCTTTGTTTTGGCTGCCGTGCCGTTCCCAGTGGAGGAGGCGTGGTGTCCTGAGGACTGGGGCTGGGCCTCATAGGGGCCACGTGGAGGAGGACGGTGGGGGGGTTGGGGGTGTCCGGGTATGGGTCCGTCTTAAACGGGGTGCGAGGGCAACTCCAGGAGGGTGGGTGTCAGCGTGGAGGCCAGGTGATGGAATCCCAGCTCTGTGCTTTCTGTTATAGTGATGTCCGCATCTTCTCCTTTCCCTCGCTGGTGACGGATGGCACTGAAATACGCATTCATCAGCTGCATGATCTCAGTCAGCTGTGACAGAGAGAGAGAGAGAGAGGTCAGATTGGTGGCAGTCTTAGTGTCTGTCTGGCACTGTCACAGGAGGGTGGAGAAGGATGATGTCATGCAGCTGCTAGAAAAACTGGATCCTCCAGAAGCCGAGGATGATGATGTTTGGCAGATTCTGAGGACACACACACCCCTCAACCAGAAAAAACGTGTGTGGAAATTTCATCACTTTGACATATTTTGTTCGGCAGCTGTTGCAGAAATAAAAGGAGGGCACTGCGGAGGAGTTCATTTGTTCATCTGTCCCTCCGTTACCCTGACCTTGGTAGACATGACCACCAAACCATCATAAGCCACCGTGACCATTACCTTCCCTCCAGTCCTGCTAATACTTGGCTAAACTTGGTTTGTGAGAACATTGACTAAAGTCTCTAAGCTTCAACCCGCGCCCACTCTTCAACTTTAACTGTAACCCTTGAATCAGCGGCTAATCTTGCCCTCAACATTAACTCCAGGCCTAACCATAATCACCCCCTGCAAATCCATGCTCTCTCTTATTTCCTGCACAGTAGCTCAGAACCCTGCACATTCTTGTCAGTGCAATATAAGGCCTTAAATTCTTAAAAGTAGAAGCCTTTTTGGGTTGTACTTCAATTCGCTTGCACGTCCAATAAATAAATAAAAGCCACTTTTGTGCCCCATGAGAGATCACAGAGGGATTTTTTGTTCCGTGTGGGAAGATGCAAGCAAATCTACCCAGTGAAAGGCAAGATTTGTTCTCTACTGAAAAAAAAAAAAGTCTGTTTGGAAGACCATCCATGTTTCTGAGAAATGTTGCCTAATATTTTAATCTAACCACTGCAATAAAACTCACCCCCAGTTGCCATTTAATGCCAGGAAGTTAAACTTTTGGTGGTTAGTACGGTTGGAGAGCAGGGGCAGGTTGTATGCTCTCCATTTAGACCAAATTAATGAGTGTTTTTAAAGTGGGTCAGAGAGCTGGAGGGAGGAGGGTATCATAAGCAGACAGCGTGTTTCTTTCACTTACTCTGCAGAACACTGCATGGTGATAAGGCCACTTGGCCCTGCACTGTACACAAACTGAATCCTGAATACATGAGAGTTAGATTGTGTCTAAGCTAGGAAGAGAAACAGTTCCAGTAATAAGAGATTTCACTTCTTTCAACCCCTCAGCTAACTCAGGGCGTGAGCCACTATACCTTGGTGGTTTCAAACAGCAGATCCCGATCCCCAGCTGTGATTTTGAAGGTGTTGCTATCAGATATGCCGTAGGAACAGATCTGGCCATATGGGAAGGATTCCAGGGCCTCTGCCTCTCCCTGCCGATACAGAGACACGGATGTAGCAGCTACACCCAACCACAACTTCTGGGAAAAACTTCCTGTTGAACTCTGGAGGGAGGAAGAGGTAAGCAGATGTCAGAGCAGCTCACAGTTATCCCTTACTTTAAGACTTACTTCAAGAGTCAAGTGACTCTTAAGCACAGAGGGAGTGTGACCTTACAACTAAAACAACAACGTGACCTCACAATACTCACAATATAAAAGTCCACTTCATAAAGAGTGCATCCAAAGCCCGACCACTGGCGTGCAATTGTGAGGTAGGCAGCAATACTGTCCCTCCGGCTGTAGCCAGCCAGACCTTTCCAATGCTCCAAAATGGATCCCATAACAGCCGCTGCCTCCTCCTTCAGTCGGCTCCGCAGACGCATGTCCTGCTCCACTTTGTGCTTGTGCGCTGCTGTAGCTGTGTGGCTCCACAGCGTCCCTGCCAGAAGGCCTGTGGGGAAGAGCTGCGTTGCAGGGCAGCCCTGGGCCGCCACCTGACATGGCGGGAGGGCTGGGGATGCAGAAAGGGACACGAGGACTCGAGCTTCTAGCATGTGACCTGGGAAAAGCTCGTCCAGAGGTGGGCAGGGGGCATGTGTACTGAAGTCACCCATCAGACACTGAAGCCTCAGGGCAGCCAAGGCCTGCAGGTCCTCTTCACAGGCTGGCAGCTGGCCACGCACCACCATCTCATGGCACTGTAGCGCAAAGGCCAAAACCAGGACAAACAGTGAAAGAACGAACGGAACGAAAAGAGGGAAGGTACAATTTGTCAGTAATAGCCCCATTCCTGCCATCAATCCCGTCTACCCCACCCTGTTTTATTTTGTCCCATAACTCTTTTATGAGAGTCCTCAGGAAAATGTTCTAATGAAGCCAGTGCTGGCTGCCTTTTGCCCCCTCTGCACTACAGCCAGTGCTCTTAGTCATGCTTTTTATGCAGTGTGTTTTATTGCAATCACCGCCCGTAAGACATTACTGATTGTTCCGAAAAAACATAATAATCTAATGAAATACGAGCAATGAATCACTGCAGGACAATAAATTATATCTCATTATCAGCACTGAAATGGTCACTCATAACAAAGACACTCTCAAAGGAGGACTCTGCCCTTTGAGGAGTTGTGTTCTGCTTCATTACCTGCTCAAAGAGGAGGAGATATTCAATGCTGTCCACTGATATGCTGTCAGCATCCAACAGGCAGTAGAGCTTGAAACACAGTTTCCATTGGGATTTAGACTCTGACTCTTTGGTGGAGAGGCTGCACAGAAGTGGGACAGAAAGGGTTAGAAAGTTTAGACAGGTAACACATATAAACATATACAAATGGTATACCAAGAATCTTAAGCCTAGATGTTAATATGTTACAAGTTATTGCCTCCTTAATGTGTAATATTGTTGTTGAGTAACTCGGTGGTTTGCTGAGTTTCATGTTTACCCTGTCACTCGTCAATGTGAGGACATGGACGCCCACGCTTGTTAAAAAAACACAGGTCCCTTTTATTCCAGCTGGATGCCTTATCGTTTTATTCGAGACTCTGCCTTGTACAAGCAAATGACATCAGCTTCACCTTGGCTAACCAGCAGCTGGCTCTGCTGACAGAAATAGTGACACACGTCCAGTTTCCCAGCAGGGTGTCATGTTGACCAACAAGACCAGACAAGGTCACCAGTTATCAAGGATACTGGATAACGTTCAGCATGGGAGTTAGACTAGCGAAGATAAATATACAATCCACTGCTCTGTTGGCATTCGTCTAACGAGTGACAAATAGCTCAGATTCCTGCCAGACATAGTTTTGATAGTGTGTCTGTCTGCTTGGTTTTATTGTGTCTGACTTCCTCACGATGTCTGTCTGTTCTGTTCTTTACAGGGTAAAGACTGACATTTTATTTTCAAACCTGGTCAGGATGTCTGCGATCAGAGAGCTCCCTGCAACTGGCTGCTCCCACAGTGCATTCTGCTCGTACAGTGCAAACGTGTTCTTGCTGTCTTGCAGGCTGAGCTTCTCCTGCATCCTTCGAACCACCTGGTGAGGGGCAACGGAACAGACAATGACACACAATGGTTAAACTTTCCAAAGTCCAAACAGAAGAGGGAGAAATGCAATTCTTGTGATTATCATGGCTTAGTAATCTCACTAGACTCCAGATTAGGATAGGAAGTTTTAAATTGGAATGCATGAGAAGCTAAAAGATTGAGAAATGTGCTATAATGTAGAATATAGACAAATGTGCCCAAACCTCATTGGCAGTAGTGTGTGAGCTGATGTAGAGCTGGCAGGACCCGGGGCCAGGATAGTGCACAGTGCACAGCATCTCCTGTCGGCTCATCAGCATCTGGATCTCCTCCCAGGATGGCACACACTCCCGACACTTGGTTTTCTCCAGAGCCTCGCTGATAAATGACGCATAGTTATCCATCTCAGACTCAGGACTTTGGCTCTGGATCCTGCAAAAAAAGAGTGAGAGTGAGGTGGGTGGATACGTACCGTGTGTGCGTGCCTGTGCTTGTGGCTGCACATTTAGAATTGCTAGATATCTGCCAGCAAAATGAAAATGTTCAATACATAAAAGGGAGAACTTGTTAATGCTCCTGATGTTAACAGTGACTCAAAGTCTGAAAAGTGTAATGCTATGATTATGGACTTTGCGTCATCCTTTTGATTCTTTATTTTCTTTGGGCTGGCAATGCTCAAAAGTCAATGAGGCGAGGAATGACAAATGTTCTCACTTTAGCTCTTAGGGACTTAAAATGCTCAACATCCCTCAATCCTTCAAAGAAAAGGAAAATGGCAAAGAAAACATGTTTGACTTTGGGTAGCGCACGAAACAGGAAAAGGTGTTTCCGCTCCTGTGAACCAGGGTGACCTGCCACTTCCTCCCAGCGGAGTGTCCAGGAGTGGTGTGTGTGTGTGTGT